TCACAGTAATTGCCCAGGCCAGCAGCACAGCCATGGAGCCGAAGCAGCCAGAGCAGGTTCCCACCTGCAGCCTGTGGCCTTTCTTCTCCCCACGCTGGCAGGCGGATGCCATGGCAGGACATAGAGAGTTAATATCTGAAGCTGCATCCCTGGTAGCCGGCAGCTCCCTGGGCTTCTGTCTTTTGTGAAAGTTTAATAAAATAAATTTTGAATATCAATAAAGTACGTTCTATTTTTCTTGGCATGTCCCAGCAGCACTCCAACCTTCTATCGCTTAAGTCATGCTACAGACAGATCGCTTTCCACAGATCACTGATGTGGTGCCACAAGGGCTGGGGATGATTTGCTAAAATGCTCCAAAGGTATTCAAATTTCTTTAAAGAAGAAATTCAATTTATGTGCATTTATATTACAATGTCTGTCAGGAAGAAAGGTTATAATCACCAGCATATTTTAGATTTACATTTCCCTCTGTACATGAGGTAATGGCATTAGAGGAAGAGTCTGAAGCGGAGAGTTGAATTGGATGCATGGACCTATTTTCATTGCTGGAAAAAAAAAAGCATGTGTTTGAAGTTCTTGAGGAGAGCATATGTTAGCATATGTTAGGGAAATGGCAAGAACAGGAGGCCGGATGGTCGGAGCTCCGGGCATTTGCCTTTGCTCTGGCCTCTCCAGGTGGTGCTCAGACAGGCTGTCTTCTGCACCAATGGTCCTTAGAAGCTCTCTAAGACGTCAGCCTCTGATAGAGAACCAGACACAGAATAAGGCTACATGAGAGTGTCCTCAGGATACTTCCTTCTCCTGGTGAGGTTCAGGTAGGGTGATCCCAGTGAGGACAGGAAGGGTTTCACTACTAGCTGATCTAGAAAGCAAGCCTGGATCATGAGTATTTTAAATTACCCCTAGCTAAGCATCAGTCATGGGGCTCGCAGGTCCCAGGATGCTCTAGAGGGTGAATGAGCCAGTCCTAGTAATGGGACTGACTGTCTGGAAACAAAAGCTGGGATGCTCAAAGCCTGTGGGTGGCAAAGGTGAAACCAGCTCCTAGTCAGCCATGGTGCCTGCCGAGCAACTGCTCAGGTATCCAAGGGAAACATTATTTTAGCTTCCTCAGTGAGACTTCTTAAACAAAGATCTGCAGGAAGATGGGGACAGATGTCTCTGAGTGACACCTACTTGGCGCTAGCCTGAAATATATCTGCCAGCAGAGAGTACTTGGATGCCCAGGTCCACTGCTGCCTTCAAATTACGTATTTAAAAATTTGATGGCTGTGTGGTAGAGCCATACATGAAACCTTGAGCTCCATTCTCTGCAACACACACAGGCAAAATATTAGCAACCACATCTGCCCAACTTATCTATGATTAAAAACGTTTCATTAAATAGGTTTTAGTCGAATCATCACTACTTTTCCTATTGTTTCCGTCTAACCCCAAAATGATAAGTATAAAACATAGAGTACTTGAGCATGATGGTCCAGCTGAAAAAACTTTAAAAAGAAAAGAAAAATCAGCCTTAACTCCATTCCAAGAGATAACCGTTCTTAACATCTGGTATGCGACCATCTGCACGTTGGCCGCATAATCCACCAGATATATGACTTTTTTGTGTAAGAATAGTTCTTCCAGAAGAATGAAAGCACACTGAGCCGTCTGGCGTTGTAGATGAGTCATGTGGACCATCTCTTTCCAGCACTGAATAATCTTTTCCAATGTATCTTTAATGACCACGTAGCATTCCTCTTTACGGCTGCATCTTAATCAACTAATCTCCTCTTTGGTGGTATCTGCATTATTCACAGATTTGCATCTGTTTAGCTCATATCCACAGTTCTTACTTATGACAACTTCTTAAATGCAGGGCCACAAGATACATGTATTTTTATTATTTTTGGCTAAGATTGTCAAATCATCTTCAGAAGAGTGTGCCCTTATTTTTCCCATCATCAGTTCATGAGAGCCTATGCTTTGTTGATCTGAACCAAACCAATTTCTCCTTTCTTTCTTTCTTTCTTTCTTTCTTTCTTTCTTTCTTTCTTTCTCTCTCTCTCTCTCTCTCTCTCTCTCTTTCTTTCTTTCTTTCTTTCTTTCTTTCTTTGTATTTATTTATTTTGGTTTTTCAAGACACGGTTTCTCTGTGTAGCCCTGGCTGTCCTGGACTCACTTTGTAGACCAGGCTGGCCTCGAACTCACAGAGATCCACATGTCTCTTCCTTCCTGAGTGCTGGGATTACAGCTATGCACCACCACTCCCAGCTACCCGAACCAATAATTTAACTAGCTAAGAAAACTTCTAATACAGTTACCATCTTAGTTTGGGTTTCTACTGCTGTGCCACAAACAAAAGCAAAAGCAACTTAGAGAGGGTTGGGGTTCATTTATTTCAGATTACAATTTCCAGGTCACAGTCCATTACTCAGGAAAGTCAGGGCAGAAACTGAGAGGCAGGGACTGATAGAGAGGCTGTAGAGGAGGGCTGCTTATTACATAGCTCTCAGGGGCTTGATCAGCCTGCTTTCTTACATCAGGACCACTTGCCCAGGCATAGCACCACCCACAGTGAGCTAGACCTTCCCACATCAATCATCAATCAAGAAAAAGTGCCAAAGGCTTGCCACAGGCCAATCTGGTAGGGCTATTTTCTCAATCAAGGTTCCTTCTCCCCAAATGACTCTAGCTTATGTCAAGTCGACATGAAACTAGCCAGTTTTGTGACAGTTTATGAACTTGGAAAAAGACAGAGATGGAGTTTTCTAGAAGGCCAGTCCCCACCTTAACCAGAAACCACTTTCTAGTTAATACAGTTGGGAGAATGGTGAAGAGCCTGGTGGTGCTGGTAGAAGCCTTTAGGATAATGTCAGGCCTTGGCTATCTCTGGATTTATGGTCTGATCCTCAAAGAATCGAGGTAGTTTGGTAGGAAAGAGACTTCTAGCTAGAGATAAAGGTAGCTTAGAAGGGTGGATCTCTGGGGCTCCTTGGCCAGCCAACCTAGTCTCACTGGTGAGCTCCAGTCACTAAGAGACTCTGTCTCAAAAAAACAAGGTGAACACTTGAGGTTGACTTCCTGGCCTCTGTATGCACACACATATTCATAAACATATTCATAAACATTCAAACACACACACACACACTCACACCATTTACAAAGATAAAAGTCATACCCAATAGAAAACTGTGCAGTGGTATGCAATGTCCCCATAAACTCATGTGTTTGAACTCTTGGTGTCATGCTCATGTTTCCATCTGAGGAAGACTATAGAAAGAACTGAATACAAGGAGCAATGCCATAGTGTGACGCACATTCATCCTGGCATAGCAGCAGGGCAGGGAGGTGGAGAAGACTTTTGGGAAACTACAAGAAAAGCCATGTGGCCTGGCATAAAAAACAGCAATGCTCTGTCCTTCCTCACAGTCCTGTGGACTGCTTGGTGGTTCTGCCCTGGATCTCTTTGGACTTGGCCATGCATCTGAAGTGACAACAAAGAGCCTATAGGACAGTAGGTGTCAGAAAGTCTGCTGCTGGCTGGGTCCCAAGGCCCCTCTTTGCAGATGTTCACCCTCAGAAAGTCTCTTCTGGCCTGCTGGTCTTGGGGAAGTGATCCCTAAAGGGCCACAACAGGGCTTCAGTTCTCTTAAGGTCTCCCTTGCAAAGTCACTCACATTCATTAAAAAAATATTTTTGTGGTAAAATACATAAGAACATGACATAAACAATCTGATAACATGCCATGGTATGAACTGGCTGTTTGGACCATCTGAAGTGCATAATTGAGTATGTTAAGTACATGACCACCATCCAGAACTTGTCGAGCTTTCCAAACCGAACCTCTGTTCCCATAGAAGGCCGACTCTTTCCCACCTTCAGCCCTCGGCAATCGCTCTTCTCGTTTCTCTTTGTGGGTTTCTAGGGAAGCAGCTCAGGAAGCTGCCATCATCAGCGTCTCTATACGGTGGACTCATTTCCCTTAACAGTGCTGTCCAGACTCATCTTGCTGTAGTGGATGGCTTCTTTTTTTTTTTAAGAAAATTCCCTGCCCTGTGGATATGTCACAATTTTCGTCATTGCTTTTGTTGTTCTTCGGATGAGCAGACACTTGAGTTACTGAATCCAGTCTCAAGTCTACCATGGTCTATGGGTCAACGCAGCACCAAAGCCAGCTCAAAATTAGGAAGGCAGCATAGAGATTTTGCCAACTGCTGGGAGGAACAGCAGTGTCCCATTTTGAGAGGCAAGGATACAAAGAGTCCTGATTGGAGGCCATTTCTACCTCTGAAACACTGATACCCAGAAAGAGCCTGAGAGCCAACCAACTGTAACTGGTAAGTACAGAGTCCAAAGGCTGTTTTGGAGGGCACCTGCAGAAGAAGGGGACCTTGAGAACATTCATGGTCCATGGATTTGGAGTGAGAGCTCATGGCTTCCATCCAATTCAGAGATGTAATGAGCTTGGAGTTTAACAGAGAGATATTGTGTGCTGAGGTGAACAGCCTACAGAGCAGATGAAATGGAGGTATTAGAAAGAAGCAGAAAGAGAAACAGGATCTGGGTCCTATTCTCTAACACCCACAAAAGCACTGCCCATGTGGCCATAAGCACACCCTCAACCTTTTCTGTGGTTAAGTTGTGTCAATAACAGAATGGAGATCATGGCATCTGTCTGTGAAAAAAATGATGGAGGTCTGTTGTTTGTGAAATCATTTACAAAGAGCAAGAACATTCCTTGGAACTGCTTTCTCCTTCTGCCTTGGCAATCTTGTTCAAGTCCCCTCATGCTCTTTGTCAGTGTCCAATTCTCCCCTCTTCCCCCAGCTGGGGCCACCGACAATGCTCTTGTCTTTGCTTTCCTTGGGTTCTCTGTGAAGCACAGCCAGGTGCCCCATGGACCACAGAGCTAAGTTCACCAGGACACTTCCTGGTACGTTTCAATTTCAAAGTGCACTGCGGGTTCTGAATGCATGTTAAATAGTAACAAAGACACGGAGACAGCCGCCTGACTTGCCTCTTTGCTGGTGACTGTCCCACCTGCTGGGAAAGGGATACCCAGAGGTCCACAGAAGAGTCCTCGGATCAGAAGACAGCAGCCTCCCTCCTTGCCCCATCAGAAGGTCCAGGAGCACAGGCCGGAGGAACAGTTGCCTCTAGATCCTCAGTTTCTCTGTCTGTGAAATGGGAGAGATACTGGACCAGGGTTAGGACTATATGAATGGTGTTCAGTCCTGTAAGTACATGAAAGGACAGTGTCTTTAAAGTTTTGCTAATTTGTTGACTATGAAGTTTTCATATTAACTTTGATTTTTAAAAATTCCAGTGACATTTCAATTACTGGTTTGTTTGTTTGTTTGTTTGTTTGTTTGTTTGTTTTGATGCCCCTTTAAGTTTGTAACTGGGGAGGCAAGGGATTTCCCTCTCCTTGTCCTCAGTAGCCGCAGGTGATAGTAGGATCTCATGGCGTGCAGTGAAGCTAGGATGCAGTGATGGAGTAACCTGCCTGGTCCAGGCCGTCTAAGCTCATGATCATCACATTCCCTTGCATCAGTGAAACAAGGAAACTGAGGCACAGGAGGCCATGCAGTCTGAGTCTGCTGCATCCTGTTGCCTGGTAACCATGGGCCTGTTTTCTAGGATATTTCCATGTCTTATATCATCTTGCAGACCCCAGTTGCCTCCTGGCCACTATATTCTATCAGGCATAAACAGAGACTCCTTGGGGCCTGCTCCCAGTGTGTACCTGATGCTTAGACCACATATCAGGCTAGAAGACCCCCGAGATACAGGCAGAATTTGAGACACAGTGCAGGACCCAAGGCCCAGGTTCTTGGGGTCCTGCCTCTAACCTACAGTCTTTTGACACTCTAGATGCTAGCAGGTTGCCCGGGATAACATTAGACCTTCTCAGTCACCTCAAAGGACAGTATCACCCCCAGCTGGGGGCTACTAGTATAGTCCACCAACTGGTTTTGTTTTTTAAGAGAAATAGATGGTCTTAAGACAACCTGGTTTTCTGTGTCCTGGGCACATAGACATTAAAAATAGCACACTGCATGGGGATCACATACTTGTAATTCCAGCACTAAAGAGGCAGTCTCAGGAGGACCATCAGTTCAAGGACAACCTAGACCACCTTATAAGATCCTGTATTTTTTTTTAATCAATAATAAGAAACAAATGACACCGTGAGGTGAGCGGGTGGGCTAGCTGATGGCAGCAGCCACACGTCTGCCTGATGTCGTGGCTCGCCCTTCTTGATGGAAGCTTCTCAGGGTAGCTGCATTCTCCAGGTGAGGAAACCAGGGCTCAAAGGCTCACATGACTTGCTCAAGGCCATGCAACAAGGAGAGGCAGGCCTGCCCAAGACCAGTGTGTCCCCAAAGTAGCCTGTAGGATGTCTTTTCTGCCCTCATTTCTAAAAGTCCCCTTGGGAACACAGCTCCATTTTGCCATCCAAGCCAAAATGGATGAGAGACACCTAAACTCTTGCCACTGTTCCTGACTTTGTGATCCCCGGACAACCAGTAGGAACATCCCCTGAAAGCCTGTTCGAAACCCACTCTACTGGATCTGACATTCAGGACAGGGTTTTTTGGTTTTTGTTTTTTTGTTTTTTTGTTTTTTGTTTTTTGCTCAGAGTGGCCTCTAGAAGCCTCCATAGATGGGTTTCACATGAAAAAGCACTCTCTCCACTGAGGACAAAGATAAGGCCTGTGGGATCCAAGAAAAATACAGAAGCCATGTCAACAGCAGATAGAAAGGAACAAGCAGTGAACAGAACATGAGGCTCAGCCTGGATGAGATGCCTTGGCTTTGCCATTGCTTCTTCAAGTCTGTCTTCCTGATTGCCGCAGCCGTGCTGGGCTCTGAGTATACCTCTCCTCTCTACAAGAGGCCGTACCCATCTTTTAATATGAAAATTCACAGGCATGAGATGTCGCTCCATGGTAGAGCATGCGGCTAGCGTGTGAGAAACCCTGGGTTCCCTAGCTCTGCCACAGTCAAAAATTCAGAAGTTTACCCAAGTCCTTACCCATGCATTCAGAGTTGACCAAGCCTGGCCTGATATGTCAGGTCTTGGTTAGGGAGCTCTCGTGCTCATACTTCATAGTGGTTCTCCACAGAGCTATGCCTTTCTCAACATCTCATGAAGCATTAGGTGCCCTGGAACTTACCATGTAGCAAAGGATAATCTTGAACTTCCGGTCCTCCTGCCTCCACCTATCAAGTCCTAAAATCACAGCTGTTTGGTTGGGTTTTTATAGCATGCATGGAGTTGAACCCAGGGCCTGGTACTTACTAGGCAAACATTTAACCAACTGAGCTACCTCCGTAGCCTGAAATATATGTATTTTCAACTTCCCAAGCCACATTGGGTATGAGCTTCGCAGAGCAGTGCAGAGCACTACACCATCTTGGGAGCAGCCATGATGGGAACAATGAGGCTGCTGAGGGCTCCCGAGGAGGAGCTCCCAGAGCAGAGACGGAGGAGCGCAGGGAAGGATCGCACAGTCAGAGGAGGCCAGTGGCAGAGCAGTTCATTGGCTTGGGGCACCCTGCTGCCCCTGCCAACTTCTTTCGAAAGGACACATGTTTCTGTTTCAAGTGATCAGTTTTTACTTTTAACGTCGCGGATTAAAATTAAGTGCATTACCATAGATCAGTTTCCAGGGGTTTAGTACATCTGTTTTGGAGATGTAAAACAAAACGGAACACCGTAGCTCTGTGCATTAGAGAACTGGAGAAAAGGCGAGGCATGGGCTGGGGCTACCGCGCTGCCTCCACCTTGCAAATTCCTCAGACTTTGTGAGAAAGCCTCTTGGCTGGGGATGGTGAGAACCACCCTCCCGAGGAGACGCCGAGGCACAATCCGGACTCCCCAGTGCTCTGAAACCAAATAGCAGACACTTCTTCCAACACAGAGAGAGTGAGGGGATGAGGAAGGCATGTGAGTTGATGCTGCTAGAACTCAGCAGAGGCCCAGCTGTTGGGCTCCATGCCTGGCTTGACACCCACAGCATCCCACTTGCCAGGGGGTTTACATGGGCCTCTGAGGTCCAGCCATAAGGGGAAGACTGGCACATTAGATTATTGCCCCAGTGATGAGCAAATGGTCTCTGCTTTGCTATTTACACTGCTCTCCAGGAGAGAAAGCAAGTCTTCCAACTGAAGTACTCCGATTTCTACTATTTATCCAAGATTACACATCTAATCCTATAATAAAACACTGTTCCTGCCCAGAACACTGAGTGATTGCCTGCAGATGTGCCCAAACCAAAACATCTGCACAACCAAAAATGGCCACCGGCAGGATATTTTATCTGCCTTGGGTTGATAACCAAACCGGCTAATTAACTTTGGAGACTTTCAGAGTGGAAATTCCATATAGGGAACAAAAAAGCAAATTGGTGGCAAAGTCATCACATCCTAGACGGGATACCAGAGATAGAAGGCCGAGCTGTGCCTGACATCACGTAACACCTTGTAGTCTGTGAAGTTTGGCCCCAACAGCATGCCGTCACTGACACATAAAAATAAAATGCTCTCCTAATGGTGCCTGGCACAGCATCAGGAAAATACCTCATCTGAATTTTTATTCAGCTGACAAATGATGTGCGTCTAGCCTTTATCTGGCTGCTTATATTAAATATCTGAGCACTGCAAAGATTTCTTAATTTGCTTTTTTCTCCTGGTACCATGTAGCATGAGAGCTTTAAATGGAAATGTGCCGAGAGACAAGAGGGAGGTCTACCTGCTTGAAGCTTCTCTACACCCGCCCCCAAAATCACTGGGCCACACTGGATCATATCCCATAATCATCTCAGCTTTGATTTGTCTCTCAATACACTGTTTAAAAATGTAACCCAGTTGCCCAGCTCAGCAAGCTGTCTGTTTATTATTACTTTTGATAGAAAGGTTCATAACGCCCTGTAATGTGCGTGCATTTTTTATTCCGTTTGGCTACTAGACACCGAAACCTTTGGGGACATTTATTAAAATGCATTCAGCCGCTCTTTAGGACTGGGTTAATGTGGGATTTATACCTCTGTGGTGCACAGCTCACACAGCGGTGATAATGCCTGTTTAGTACTGAGTTCTCAGACAAAATGGTCGGCTATAAAAATCGAAGGAATACAAGGATGGGCTGGACGAAGCACAGACTAGGGAGCACCGTCTTCAAGTCGGGGGCTTGGAGAGGAGGCCGTGGAGGAGGACATGTATCGGGACAGCCTACCTCTCTGGCTGTGTCTGGAATGGTGCTCCCTAAAGCCTCATGTGACCGATCCAGTCCTGCCGGCCTGTCAGGGGCTTTTGTGACACCCAGCTGGGTCATAAAGGGTCATAAGAGCTTCCTCTTCCTCATGCCTCCCTAATTCCTTTCTACTGCAGAAGCCCATGGTCTTCATATGGATCTGAGCCCCTGAAAGGGCCCGTAGGCTGGGGAGAGATCCTGTCACATGCCCTGGCCCAGACTCCTTTGGTATCCAAAGCAGATGGCCCCAGCAAGATGGGGATAATATTCCAAGCAGCTTCCCAAGCTTGGCCAGGCATCTGGGCACCAGGCACAGCACATGTTTGCTACATATGTTGGTGACGTGTTTGCCTCCAAGAACGGAAGTGGCCCAGAAGTTCTCCATACAGTGTCACATACCATCTCCAGGAAGGCTGTCCATCCAGGGAGCGGCTGACTCGCTAGCTGAGGAGCTGGTGGTAAGCACCCCACTTCATCATGAGAAAGCGGGGCAGGGGGGAGATGGGGATTTTGTGTCCCTGTGAGCAGGCGGGGTCTTCCCCACTGCTACATCTCAGCTCATCACTGTGGCAGGAGGATGCTGGGGGCCTGGGGTAAGCAGCTGTGCTCTCTGCTTCTTGCCCCCAGCGAGGGACACTGGACAAGGAGGTAAACAAGGGCAGTCTGAGCTGCTAGCATGTACCATCTGTTGAGGGCGGGAGCATCTTTGATGTCTTCCCATACTCCCATTCACATTCCTTAATTCTTCCACAGCAGCCTCAGGAATTGTCTCACAATAAAAATTCAAGTCATTTTCATACCTGCTGAAACCTTATCATGGTTTCCCACTTACCTTGGATGATCCTTCCAGTCCTTCTCAGAACCCATTAGGCTGGACAGCGCCAGGTTCCCACTTGGCTACTTTCTGCCCTTCCCAATCACCACACCTCAGACACACTGAGCTTTTGAAAGTGTTTGCTCCTCATCTGGACCTTGTGTTGGTCCAGATATGCACATAGATGCATTCTGAAGAGCTCACATTCCATGCTCCCTCTTGATAGTGCCCTGGGGAAATGTGGGCTCCCATCTAGCACAGTTCTCATTCTGACAATATGAATATGAATATGGGGGTCCTCTTTTTCCGCTGTTCATGTTCTTTATTAAGTCTATCAGTACTAGGCTAAAGGCTCTCTGAAGGCAGAGGCTTTGCCTGTCCTGTTCTGCTCTGTGTCCCCAAGTTCTTGAGAGCAGTCAGGCATGCAAAAGAGCTCCACAAACCAACAGAAGGTGAGTGGATGAAAGCAAGTAGCTGCCATGATAACCGCGCTAGGCACAATCTCCTCGTATCCTGGTGACAAACCTGTCTTTTGCTGCCACACTGCTTTCTTACCCATTTTTCAGAGGAGGAACTTCAGATGGTGGTAGGATTCAAGCCAGAGCTGTGTGGACCCAGGTGCTCTTCACCGTTAGATTCAGCAAGAGCATGTACCAGGTTTACCCAGAGGTCTTGCCCCGGCTCCCAGCTAACACCTGTAAGTAGCAAGCCAGTCTGTTCTACAAGAGCTTCTAGAACAAGTGGCCTCTGTAACTTCTGCCATCTCTACTCCAGGGGCTGACTCAAGAAAATGTGTCCTGCTTCCTCCTATTCTGGACCCCTCCTTGCCCCTAGCCACCTTCCTCCACCATCTGAGGTCGTCCTGAATTGCATGCACATCTTCCAACTTCCTGCCTTTTCGTTTACCCTTCTCCCCCCACACCTGAAAGTGGAGAGTGCTTTTTCTTTTTTTTTTTTTTAAAGATACTTCATTAATTTATTTTCTGTATGCATGTGTGAGATCAGAAGATTCTGAGAGTTAGCTCTCTCCTCTTTCCACCAAGTGTGTCCGGAGACTCAAACTCATGTCTTCAGTCTTGGCGGTGGTACCTCTACTGGCTGAGTCATCTCCATGGCCCCAAACTGTTTTTTTTAGATACACACAGCACAAACCGCAGCACATGAGAATGTTATGAAAAGAACAAACTGGACTGCCAATCACATTTTTACATATGAGTCCTCTGGCCTCTGCCAGCTTTTTCTACGTGCCTGCAGCTTGTCTTGGGAATTATTCTTGGGGACCGTTTGCTTTCTGGCACCACACCACCGGCCTGTGTATTAGACACGTCCCAGGGTGAGGGATTTTGCTTAGTTACACTGGATGACGAATGTTTCCACAGCTGCAAACAGGGCATTCTTGCTCAGGAGTTGGGGCTGCTGGAGAAAGCTGCAGACCCCACTGCCAGTGTTTGAATGGAAAAGAGAAGGAAGGAGGCAGGAATTCCTCAAGGCAGCCTTGAGGCCACTGGCAGTGCTCGGAAAAACCCAAAGGGGCAAACTTCTGCTGGTATCCTAGGCAAAGAATTAGGCTGGAAACATACCAACCAATTAAATTAAAATGAGCCGAGCCCTCATGCTCTGCACCCCAAGAACAGTACCGGAAGCATGTGTCTCAGACTTGCTGTTTACCAGGCGTGTACGATTGCCGCACTTGAAGCTCGGAGTTAGACGTTTTCTGTGCTGGAGACAAGGACATGGAGGCATGTGAAGATTAAGGAAAGTGCTGGGGCTTGAGTCCGAACAAAGCTTTAGCTGACAGCCATCAGGCTCTCATATTCGCAGCTAAATGCTTCCACCTTCCATTCTCACTGTATCGACTATGAAAAGTGTTCTGGAACCCAGCTGCCCAGGAGAATTACCTTGGGGGTCTCTTTTGAAAAAAGAAACCTCAGTACCTAGACAGATCTCACCAATTAACGTCCCCAGGCATTTAATTGATTCAAAGGTGATTCTAACATGCAGCAAGACCCTTCAGACCTCAAAACTAGTTCTTAAATGTGGGTTCTTTGGGCCAGCAATATCATCAAAATCCAAGGCTTATTAGAAATGCAGACGCCTGGGCCAGCAAGATAGTTCACCAGGTAAGGACACTTACTGCCAAGTCTGAAGACCTGGCTTTGATCAACTCCAGATTCCATATGGCAGAAGGAGGAACTGACTCATGCAAATTGTCCTCTGACATTTTCATGTGCACCCTGGCATGTGCATACCCCAAATTTAGAAAAAAATAAGTTTTAAAAAGAAGGAGAAGAATATGAAGAAAGAGGAGGAAAAGAAGAAATGCAAACTTTGGTAGACCTGTGGAATCTAAAACTTCAGAGCTGAGCCCAGAAATTGCTCTTTTTACAAAACATGCAGGTTATTTTGAAATAATTCTGAAATTCATGCCTTGAAAACCACTGTTCCTTACATACTGTACATTCACCATGGCCAAGACCTTATCCTGTAATCGAAGTACCTTGAACCAAAACACAGAATGAAAAGTCTTGCATACAGCATGATGCTTCTGTTATTTCCACTAAAGGAAGAAAACCTAAACACATGGGCACTTAGTTGCAACTTTGCAAACATAGGAATTTGCTGGGATATCTAATGGTTAAAGTGTTTGCAGCTCACGGATGCAATCTATTCCTGCCCCGAACCCCCACCAGGTTAGAGAGATAAAACAAACACCTATCACAGCCATGGTAGCTGGCCTGGCCCCAGGTGTCATTGGTTCTGCAAGACTGTTGGATTTTCTGCCCCTCCAGCCCAGAGGATTGAAGGCGGCCAGTTTTGACAAGCACATGAGAATGTTCCTATCAAGTAAATCAATCCTGCATCCGGCTGCCCTGCTCAACACCCAGGCAGTGAGGTAGCTTCATCAGAGAGAATTAACAATGCTTGCAGCACGCCTCAGTAGAGGGCGGATATGTGTCTGTGTCTGCAACCAGCTTCTTCCAAGTTTCCTTGCTTGGAATCTCAACAGTCCTGCAAATGAGCAACAATTATGTTTGTCTCCACCGTTAAAGTGTCTGTGACTGGAGGAGGGGAAGGGCGCTATAGAGCGATCAACAATCGATGGAGAGAAGGTGACCTGACACCACAGTCCTGTGTGAGCATGATCAATAACACTCTGGCTTCCGTAGGCCTTCTCCGCCTGCTCCTCTCCACAGCGTGTTCTTGTATAAACACCTTAATAGTGCGAGGAGAACACCCAGGGATACTTTAAATTACATCCATATCATGCAGAGGCAAAAGTGAGTTCCACCAGGGAGAACCCAGCTCCCAGAACCAAACAAGCTTTTCTTTTTAAAACCATAATTGCTTATTTACACACTCTGCGGCCTCACGTGGAAGCAGCCCCTTGATTACCATAAGCAGTTCCGATCTAGCGGAGCCTGGCTGTAAATGCTCCAGCTCCCCTAATTTCCAATACGACTAACTGGAGATAGCAAGGGCCAATGATTTATTTGTTTGTGATGTGAAGAGAGGATGCCTGTGCTGGCTCCAAGCCAGGGCTGTGTGGTGTGGACATGTGTTGTCCCGAAAACCCTGGCTGACACTCTTTAGGTTTAGGCATCATAAACACTATAGGAGCCAAGATGTCATTGTCACTGGGTGGTGGCGGTGGTGGTTTTAAATCTTTGAATCAGGGAGGACAGACCTTGGGCTGGCGTGAACTATGACAGCTGTGGATACCAGGGTCCAGTCCGCAGGCTGTTGAGAAGCAACATCAATTACAAGCAAATCAGTTTAATGATAGACACCTGAGTGGCTTGACGAGCTAGGCTAGATGCTGGTTCCTGGTAATGGGCCTGCAGGATGTCAGCAGGCAGAGGCACTGTCTTCTTTTAGGATCTCAGAGAAATGTCCCTGTGGCTCAGAGATATTCTTGCTACTAGTCCAGTGAAGGGTTCTAGCGCATCCAGCTGCCCCTACTACTCTGGGGATCTCTCAGAACCAAGCAGGTGTGATCAGTCCAGTCACTTGGCCCAGACACTGTGGATCACTCCTGCCCATCCCGATCCAGGCTCAACTGGACAGCCAAGCAACCTTTTCAAAATGATCAGTAGAGTCCTCATGCACCTGTTCAAGCCTGCCTCCCCGTGCGGAGCCACAGGGCCCTACAGTAGGTGCTAGTCTCACACTCAGCATACTCTGAACTCAGGACTTTTATCAAGACTATTTCCTCAGGTTAACCTCTCTCTCTCTCTCTCTCTCTCTCTCTCTCTCTCTCTCTCTCCCTCCATAGCCCTAGTTATCCTGGAATCCACTATGCAAACCAGCAAGCTCTAACTCACAGAGATGTACCTCTGCCTCCTGAGGGCTTGCTTGGCTTACAAGCATGGACCACCTCACCTGGCCTTCTACCCTGTCTCACATGGCTGCATCTTTACGATATTGTAGTATGATATAATCGTATATTAATATACCAACTCAATTAGTAAAATTAATGTCATGTTGCATATTATACAGTGTTATACCATATAATGTAGATGAAATATATATATATATATATATATATAAGATCCATGAAACTTTCCATAATAAATATATTATTATATGTAACACAATATAACATAACATTATAAAATGTAATATTATAATATAGTTGTGATATGTTAATGCTATATATTAATATATAACATGATATATTAACTATAACATAATAACATATACACTTACCTCTCTGTATACAGACATCTTACACCTGGCTTACCTCAAAAGCTGCCTTTTCAGAGACGCCCTTCCTGCCAGACTGCTCAATGTCACACACAGCCTCTCTTCCACCCATGCCACCCACCGCTGTGGCTTATTTCCTCACGGCACATCTTTGAGAGTGTGTGTTCGCCTCCTACCATGACCAACAGCGTGGCCTTTACTGTCAGCTTGGCTGAATTTAGAGTCCCCATGTGGTTAGTGAGGTGCCTCTCGCCGGGTGTCTGCGAATGCATTCCTTGAGGTGGGGGGAAGATACGCCCTGAATCTGGGCTGTGCCACGTCATGGGCTCTAGGCAGGATGAACTAAAGGAAGGAAAGAGGGAAGCAGCTCACTTCTTGCTTCAGCTTCATGGACATATGGAGTTCTCCACCACACCACACTCTCCTGACACCAGGAAGGTTTGCCCGTGAGGATGGAGCCAAGCAACCATCTTTCTTCCTGTAAGTTGTTCTCTTGGGCCATTTGGTCACAGTGATGAGAAAGCTAATGATGACCACAGTGGCTGTGGTGACCACCCCACATCCGGGTTTCTCCTGCCCTGCCTCCTTGCAGCTCTATTCTGAGGACTCCAACCCCAAGCATGGTGCAGATAGAGCAAGGCTTACTATGTCCCTTTCACCCTTAGGGCCTGGTCCTTTAAGGAGCTTTGGCTCTGGAGCTCCAGAGCTCTGCCACAGGGCAGCCCAGTCCTTTGTGCTCTCTCTGCCCTCTTCTGGCTCCTTCTTTCTCTTTCTGTCCCTTTACCCAGCCTGGGCTTGGCAGCTTTTATGGAGTCCTTTAGGGTCTCTCTAGGGGGACAGTCCCACACAGCACCTCTAGCTCCCCATTCAGCAGTGCAACAGAAGAGCGGCACTTAGCATGGAGAGCCACTCACTTCTCTGGGGTCACTGATCTGGGTTTAGCTGCTAAATCATGATTCAGTTAAGAGGGCAGGCCTAGAGGCCTGGAGGCAGCAGAATTCAAACAGTTGCTTTCTTCAGTGTCTCTGTGGCCCCTGCCAAGCTGTTTGACCAGTTTGGGCCTCTGTTTCCTCATTTCCAAAACGGTGATAACAATATTTGAAAGAGATTAACTTTCCTACAGTGTCGGGTGAAAACGCAGGCACACAATAGGTTTCTCTTATTTTCTCCCACTCGCAGTTGTCAAACTCAGCGTCCTGTGTTTAACTCTAGATTTGTAATTTCTTTATATTATAAGTTTTCTCGAGCGATTTCAACTACTTATTCATGCATTCAGGACTTCCCATCTGAGGAAGCCCCTCGTGCTGAGAAATGTGGAAACTAGTGTGCCCTCTGACTCTGTGGCGGCGACAGTCCTGTGTGAAACGCATCTGGAAAACAAAGGAATGAATCTTAAACGGTGAAATATACAGCATACCGGGAAGTTCCTTTTCTGCCATTTTTAAACCCAGGGCTGCCGCCTTCTCCACCGTGACCACCCGGTGCTAGCTGGGGCTGCTTCCTTCCTCAGAGAAATTGGTTTGGTTAGTTAGTTAGTTAGTTAGTTAGTTAGTTAGTTAGTTAGTTAGTTAGTTAGTTAGTTTGTTTGTTTGTGGTGGGGTTTTGGGGGGCGGGGGTTGTTGTTGTTTTCTTTTTTCTTTTTTTCCTTTATGGAGCTGGGGATCAAACCAAGTGCCTGGAGCATGCCACTAGAGAGGGAGACAGGCGCATGTGTACATAAACAGGACACGTGTCATGAAGGAAACACGCGAAGTAAAGAGAGAAAAAAGTGGGGCACAGGCAGGAGGGGGCACACTGGACCTTTGAAGGGTAGCAGCTAAGCCAAGCCAAAAGAGAGGAAAGAATTTCAGACAGGCAAATCACGTGGGAGGTGCTGAAAGGGCATCATAATGCACCCTGGGCTCTTGTTCAGGGGTCTCTGTCTAAAGAAAGGAGGAGAAGGAGGAGGAGAAGGAAAAAGAGGAGGAGACAATTGTTAGGGACAATTCAGTCCCTAACAGGATCCCTTTCTAAAGAAAGACAGCAACAGGAATTGCTCAGTGCGGATTATCTGGGCAGGTGCAGGGCAGGCTAGAGCACTCGGGGGGTAAAAACATACTGACACCACTATGCCACAGACACTTCAACTTGTTTGTTTCACCATTAGGAATTTACACCTTCAGTTTCCAAGTGCAGTATTTAAAAGCAGCTCTCTTGAGGGAGTTTGCTACGACCCGTATTCAGTCACTGGAAGACTGGAGGCCACAGAACAATGCTCCCAGCCCAGCAGAGTACCAGGTCATCTGAGACACGTTTTAAACAGCCCAGTTGCCACCCTTTAGACTAGTGGAAATGAATTTACCTGCAGTGATCGCCTGCTCCCTGGGGCTTCCCAAGTAATATCACAGCCAAGAATTCTTGCAGAGAAAACCCACCTTCCCCTGCTTCGGTGCTGTTCCAGGAGACATCATCAATGCTGGTCACAACTACCCAGCAAAGGTTTGCAGAGAAGTCCAGAGCTGTACTGTGACTAGATCAAGAGTGCAACCGGGCCCGAACCAACCTGCTTCTGGCAGAGAAACTGGGGCCATATGCCTGGGGCTCTCTGGAGGAAGAGGAACAGTAGTTAATATGGGCTGCGAATGGGTGAGGACATGTGTCCAGAGCACCAAACAGAGAAACACCTGTTCCAGGGCTGACATCAATCCGAAATCAGAAGCGAGTTGCCTGGGGCACCTCAGTGTGGCATACAGAATTCAGTTCCTCACAGCCTTGGTCTGCTGCCTGCCACAGAGGGTTCAGAGAAAATGAAAATTAATGGGGTGGGGAAGGAATCAGCAGCAAGTCCCACTTTTATTAATAACTACCCTCCATCACAGAGAGACCAAGACAGAGTGTCCACTCCAGACCAGGGTCACCTTGGGGAAGAAGGTAGGAGCTTTGAAGGGTCTCTGTGGGAGCCTCCCCACCCCAAGGCTAGACACAGCTTCAGACAAAGGGCTGTCACTGTTGAGCTTGAGGTTTTAATTTTTGAGAGGCTCTCATTATTGCAGTCCAGGCTGGCCTTGAACTCATGATCCTCCTGTTCTAGGCTACACAGTGCTGAGTAACAGGCATTCATCCTCAAAGAGCAGCTCTGTGGACTGAACAAGAAGTGTTCATAAGGACTCCTAGGGAGTGGAGAGCTCCCATCCTGTCCACACCGAGTGGCCAGAAGTGCCCTTCATGCTTTGCTTTTGTTCAGTGTCTTCAGTCTCATCCCCTGCTTCCTCATCACCAGCCACAAAGTTGCCAGAAGAATAGCATCACACTCAGGCTGAAACTGCCATAAGCCAGTGGATAACCAGCATCTCTGACTCCCCAAAACTGCCTCTAAGGCCCCAACACCTATCTCTATAGCTACCCACTCCCAACCTGCCCAACTCCCAGAAGGCATACAATGCAGTCCTATTAGCAAACACCTCTCCAAAGGGCTCTTGGCTTCCTAGGCCATTCTGCCTTTCTATTAGCCAGCACACCCTCCCTCTGCCGCTGTGTTGCTGAGTATTGGGTGACTTAGCCAAACAGACTCTGAAGCAGCAAGCCCTGATGTGCACTATTGAGGAGCTGCGGGCAGCTCAGCACAGCCTACTGTGGATACCCTGAAACTCAGGCCATTTACTTCTGAAGGCGTGAGCAGGATGCCAGCCTTGCCTGGAGACAGCAGGGAGATGGATATTTCAGGCATCTTCTGGGCACTTGCCATACAGCAGGTTCTCATAACAATTCCCAACAGGATCTCACTTATTCTGCATACCAAGTCTGTATAGCGGGCATACTTTCATGGCTAAGCCTTGGGTTTTAGAGCTAGTGTCTAGGTTAAAAAAAAAAAATCTCAACTCTGTCACTTACTATGTGACTTTGGGGAAACTGATTACCCTTTCTTGGATCACATAGCTCTTTCTGTCACCCACTATCATCATCTCCATCATGGTCTCCTTCTCGGTAGGAGTGCTGGGGCACAGATCCATGGCAGCCCTGCCATGAACTAACTTGGTTTTAAACTGAAGCTGAAGGTTAAACTCTCCCTTTCAAACCTGAGGTGCTTCCTGTCCCTTGTCAGGCCTTCCTGAGTGCTTTTTTGGCCAGTAACCACACACATATGGGCACCAGAGAACCTGTTGAAATTCATGGCCTGCGGGGCAGGTCAGGCAGTGTGCAGGGTCTGGGTGCCGAGCATGGAAGTTTTTGTACAGGGAGATGGCACAGGTCTTCCTCCATTTTGTGTCACACCCTGAGCCCCCGTCCAAAGGCCTGTGTTAGCTGCTGGCAAGGAAGACCAGGCTTAGAGGGTCAGGTGGGGAGAGAGGACAAGCACACGGCCAGCATGTCTGTGGTGCAGCCCCTGCTCCTCATTAGCAGCCTCCATCTGCCCAGGTCCAGGCTCTTCCTGTCCCAGATGGATAGAAATGACCATGTATCTTCTCTGACACTCACATCTCGGCTTTGATGATAAGGGAGGCAACACCCTGCCAATCCCCTGTCCCATTCTTAGGTCTTTTAGAAATAGCTACCAGTGTGTCCAGGTGGTTTGACTGAACTCACCCTAAGCAGCCATGTGACCTTGCTCTGACCAGTCAGGGTATCACATCTATTGACCCAAGGAAGGGTACTTATCCCAATATAGGCAAAACAGAACAAAAAAAGACTCAACTCTAACACTGTTGTTAGCATGAGCAGAAAAGAGGCATTCTCTTCAGTGAAGCTGAAATTCAT